AATATAACTGGACCGCCTGGAAAGTGTGACCATAATGTATTAAAATGTAACATTCCCATGATGGGAAAACAGCTCAGCAGCCCAACATTGTGGCATTTAATTTCAGAAAGGGGAACTACACAGAAATGAGGAGGTTAAACAAAAATTAAAAGATACAGTGACAAAAGTAAAATCCCTGCAAGCTGCATGGAAATTTTTCAAAGACACCATAATAGCAGCCCAACTTAAAATGTGTACCCCAAATTAAAAAACAAAGTAAGAGAACCAAAAAAGTGCCACCACGGTTTGGCTTAACCAAGTAGAACCAGTGAGAGATAAAAAGGCATCGTTTAAGAAGTGGAAGTTAAATCCTAGTGAGGAAAAGAGAAAGGGGCATAAACTCTGTCAAATTAAGTGTAAAAATATAATAAGAAAATCCAAAAGGCAGTTTGAAGAACAGCTAGCCAAAAACTCAAAAAGTAATAGCAAAAGGTTTTAGTATATCAGAAGCAGGAAGCCTGCTAAACATCCAGTGGGGTTCCCTGGATGATCAAAATGCTAACGGAGCACTCAAAGACGATAAGGTCATTGAGGAGAAACTAAATGAATTCTTTGTTGTGGTCTTCGAGCTGAGGATGTTAGGGACATTCCTAAACCTAAGCTATTCTTTTTAGGTGACAAATGTGAGGTATTATCCCAAATCGAGGTGATATTAAACGAGGTTTAAGAACAAATTGCTAAGCTTAACAGTAACAAGTCACTGGGACCAGATGGCATTCATCTAAGAGTTCTGAAAAATGTGAAATTGCAGAACTATTAACTGTGGTTTGTAGCTTATCCTTTAAGGGTTTGTATCTAGACTGTGGGGGTTTTTTGGGATACCAGAGGTATCCCAATCAAACTCCACTGTGTCCAGGGAATGTGTTTGCTCTTCTGCTTTTTTTTTTGCAGAAGAGCAAACGTGTGCTTTCGGAAGCCCCTCTCTTCCTCGTTCTACAAGGAAGAAGGGGGCTTTCGAAAGAGGGTTTTTCCCCCAACATTTGGTACAGTCTAGATGAGCCAAATGTCAGAAGAGCCTCTTCCAACAAAAGTATCGGAAAAAGATACACAAAATGTGGAGTGCATTTTGCATAGCTTTTTCCGACAGATGTAGTCTAGCTGTACCCTAAATCAGCATCTATACCCAGCTGATCCCAGGCTTCTAATGTTCTGCACATTTGAAGCGTTGGAGCGGAGCCTCAAAGGGGCAGTACATTAGGAGCTTGGGACCAGCTGGAGTGCCCAGCTGATCCCCGGCTCTGCCCCTTTGAAGTGCCAGTCAGGCACTTCAAAGGGGCAGTACATTAGGAGCCCAGGGTCACCTGGGGACTCCAGCTGATCCCAGGCTCCTAATGCGCTGCCCCTTTGAGGCGCCAGGATGGCACTTCAAAGGGGCAGTGCAACACGGAGCCCAGGATCAGTCGGAGTACCCAGCTGATCCCGGGCTCCACCTTGCACTGCCTTTGGAAGCACCAGAGCAGCTCTTCAAAGGGGCAGCACTGCACCTAGCTGGGGTCAGCTGGGGACTCCAGCTGATCCCAGGCTCCTTGCAGGTCTGCCCCTTGGAAATGCCTCTGTGTTCCAGAGAGGCAGGGCCAGCAGAGCCCGGGGATCTTACAGTGCTGCCCCTTTGAAATGCCCACTGTAGCATTTCAAAGGGGCAGGGCACACGATTAAATTTTTTAAGCTTGCGATTAATCTCTATTACTTTTTTTAATCGCTTGACAGCCCTACTTTTTTTGCCTCTGTCTTCACAGACAAGGTCAGCTCCCAGACTACTGCACTAGGCAACGCAGTATGGGAAGGAGATGGGCAGCTCTCGGTGGAGAAAGAAAAAGTTAAGAACTATTTAGAAAAGCTAACCATACACAAATTCATTGGGCCAGATTTAATGCACCTGAGGGTACTGAGGGAGTTGGCAAATGTCACTGCAGAGCCTTCGGCCATTTTCTTTGAAAACTCGTGAAGATAAGGAGACGTCCCAGCTGACTGAAAAAAGGCAAATGTAGTGCCCATCTTTAAAAAAAGGGAAGGACAATCCAGGGAACTACAAACCAGTCAACCTTACCTCAGTCCCCGGAAAAATCATGGAGGGGATTCTCAAGGAATTCATTTTGAAGTACTTGGAAGAGGGGAAAGTGATCAGGAATAGTCAACATGGATTCACCAAGGGCAAGTCTTGCCTGACCGATCTGATTAGCTTCTCTGATGAAGTAACTGGCTCTGTGGACATGGGGAAGTCAGTGGATGTGACTTTAGTAAAGCTTTTGATACGATCTCCCACAATATTCTTGCCAGCAAGTTAAGGAAGGTGGTTAGAAATCTGACTAGATTGTTGGGCCCAACAGGTAGTGATCAACGGCTCGATGTCAGGTTGGCGGTCGGTTTCTAGCGGAGTGCCCCAAGGATCAGTTCTAGAACCGGTTTTGTTCAACATCTTTATTAATTATCTGGATAAGGGGATGGATTGCACCCTCAGCAAGTTTATGGATGACACTAAGATAGAGAGAGAGGTAGATATGTTGGAAGGCAGGAACAGGGTTCAGAGTGACCTAGACAAATTGGAGGATTGGGCCAAAAAAAAATCTGATGAGGTTCAAAAAGGACAAGTGCAGAGTCCTGCTCTTGGTACAGAAGAATCCCAAGCATTGTTACAGGCTAGGGACCAAATGGCTAAGAAGCAGTTCAGTAGAAAAGGACCTGGGGATTACAGTGGATGAGAAGCTGGATATGAGTCAACAGGGCGCCCTTGTAGCCAAGAAGGCTAATGGCATATTGGGGTGCATTAGGAGAAACATTGCCAGCAGATCTAAGAAGTTATTATTCCATTTGGCACTGGTGAAGCCACATCTGGAGTGCTGCATCCAATTCTGGGCCCCACTCCTACAGAAAGGATGTAGACGCATTGGAGAGGGTCAAGGGGAGGGCAACCAAAATTATTAGGGGGCTGGAACACATGACCTATGAGGAGAGGCTGAGGGATTTGGGTTTATTTAGTCTGCAGAAGAGAAGAGTGAGGGGGGATTTGATAGCAGCCTTCAACTACCTGAAGGGAGGTTCCAAAGAGGCTGGAGAGAGTAGTGACGGATGGCAGAACAAGGAGCAATGGTCTCAAATTACAATGGGGGAAATCTAAGTTGGATATTAGGAAAAAGTATTTCACTACAAGAGTGGTGAAGTACTAGAATGGGTTCCCTAGGGAGGAGGTGGAATCTCCATCCCTAGAGGTTTTTAAGTCTTGGCTTGACAAAGCCCTGGCTGGGATGATTTAGTTAGGGTTGGTCCTGCTTTGGGCAGGTCTCCTGAGGTCTCTTCCAGTCCTAGGATAAGGGATGTAATAGTATCAGTGATTAACCAATTAGCAAAAGCTTTAGCAGGGCTCGCCGAACTGCAGCAAGCCCCATTCGCCAGCCGAGCTGTCCGGCGATCTTCCAGGTTGCAATCCGAGTAGATTGCATTATTTGTCGAGCCCTGCTTATAAGGTAATTTTTTTAGCAGGCTGGCCAGCAGCTCAGCTCAGTCCCAGCTTGCGCTGGGTCCAGGACCTACCTCTGCTGTCGCTCTGCATTTAAAGTGTATTAGGAGCCAGGTGGGCAGGCAATCCGGCTCAGTTCTGGCTTGTGCCATGTCTGAGAGCTTAGACCCAACCCTGCACAGGGGCTGCTGCCAACCTGCGCTGCTGCCTCTTTCAGAGGCAACAGTGCAGGGTGACAGGCAGCCAGTCTGCGAAGGGAGCTGTTTTTTAAACTGGCTCCCCTTGCAAACAAATTCCATCTGGCACCCCATGCTGCTGCCTGATACAGCACATTGGCTGCCAGCCCTGCCCCCTGGAGACTACAGAATAGTTGAGTAACCAATAAGTATTCTGAGGTTAATTGACTATTCAATTTACCGATATTTAACATCCCTACCTAGGATTGTATGACCTTGGAGTCATTGTGGATAGTTCTCTGAAAACAGCCACTCAATGTGCAGCAGCAGTCAAAAAAAGCAAACGATGTCAGGAATCATTAAAAAAGGGATAGAGAATAAGACAGAGAGCATCTTACCTCTCTATAAAACCATGGTACGCCCACATCTTGAATACTGCACACAGATGTGGTTGCCTCATATCAAAAGAGATATATTGGCATTAGGAAAGGTTCAAAAAAGGGCAATAAAAACAATTACGGGTTTGGAACAGGTCCCATAGGAAGAGAGATTAAAAAGATTTGGACTTTTTAACTTAGAAAAGAGGAGACTAAGGGGGGATATGATAGAGGTCTATAAAATTATGACTAGTGTGGAAAAAGTGATTAAGTAAAAGTTATTTACTTATTTTCACAATATAAGAACTAGGGGTCACCAAATGAAATGAAGGCAGCAGGTTTAAAACAAACAAAAGGACGTTTTTCTTCACTCAGTGTACAGTCAACCTGTGGAACTCCTTGCCAGAGGATGTTGTGAAAACCAGGACTTTAACAGGTTCAGAAAGAACTAGATAAATTTATGGAGTTTAGGATCATCAATGGCTGTAAGCCAGGATGGGTAGGAATGGTGTTCCTAGCCTCTGTTTCTCAGAGGCTGGAAATGGGTGACAGAGGAGAGATCACGTGATGATTACCAATTCTGTTCACTCCCTTTGGGGCACCTGGCATTGGCCATGTTGGAAGACAGGATACTGGAGTTAGATGGACCTTTGGCCTGACCCAGTACGTCCGTTCTTATGAGCTATTTGCACTGCTTGGAATTTCTGGGAGGGTGAGAGAGGAGTTGCTGTGCATGGGGCCAATGGCTTTTCCCCATGAGTGTTTCAGCCCAACAGCACCCACGGATGCCGGACCACTGATGTTGCCAGACGAAGGAAGTTTGGATTATAGAGGTCTGACCTGTATTAGTAAGGAAAATGCATCAAACCTTACGACTCTGTTCATCACCACACCTCCAAATGCCAATTCTTGATGGGGACATTTAATCTAAAATGCAAGTAACTACTGAATAAACATTTTTTAAAAGTTCACACAAAACAAATCTTTATTCTTTGTGGCAGAAAATAAATACAGGTGCATATTTCATATGCTTTTCTATAAAAGCACTCCTACAAAAATGTCACTTAACTGCATACAACAGTACAACCTTTTTGGCTTTTAAAATGCAAATATTATACAGTCACTTCATTTTATCAACTTTTTAAAGCACTTGTAGCAAGCAGCTTTGGAAAAGGAATGTTTAGTTTGAGCTAAATTCTTGCCTCAAGTGTTTGTTTTCCATATATAGTGCAACTAACCTAAAAGCATCTAGAACATTTTTTTTTCTTTTTGGAAAACATTTGTCCTTTTCTAAAACTGCAAAGAAAAATAGCTACCAAAATCTGGTCTAACTTTAAATTTAAACCAAGAAATACAACAAAACAAAAATGACTCAATTGAAATATTAAGGTAAGCATGATGCTTCACAGCTTGTTTTCTATAAGCTTCCAGTTTGGCCCTTGGTATTTTCTTTACAATAAAAAGAAGAGATTAATCGTCTAGTCCTATATTTCTGAAAAGATATGACATGGATTCCCCATTATGGATTCTGCGAATGGCTTCTGAGAGGATCATACTGATATCCACTGTCTTAATTTTGGGACACTGGAGTTTCTGTATTTCATGTGGAATCGTGTTGGTTACAACAACCTAGAGAAAGAGAAACCATCATAGTAGAAATGAGCTCCCGGATCTTTTCCCCTCAGTTTCTTATCTGCACCCCATCACAGCAGTGTCTGAAAAGGCAAGGTCTGCCCTCCAGATCCCAAGTTAACTAGTTGATGCAAAGCAGGAGCACCTTTTGAGACTGATAATAGACAGGATTATAGACTTGTGAAAGGTTATGCCTTTCTGTAGGACGCTTATCTACTCACCTATCTATGGGTGCTACAGAAACGTTCCTTCCTTGCCTTTAACCTATCAAACACACTCTTAAATACTCTTCAGCTTAACGAGAATCTCCCTAAATTGGCAATCCTTTACCTAGGCTCTTATTATTATGATGCACCACTCAAGTATTCATGAAGACTTGAAAAATAATATGGAATAATTATATGTTAAACCCTTAATCTGTACTCAAGAGTGAGGCCAGGAATAAATGGCCACAATATCTGTAATTGATATTGTAATTAGTAATAAGCCACATGAAAAATTTTAGGAATCAAGCCAGTGGGAATTTTAAAGCTGGCTGAATTCTCTGAAAAGTTTTCATCATTTTCATTTACTTCTGAACTCTCAGGCTAGCACAGCCTGCGCCCACTTACTTCATCAATAGCAGATTCTTCTATCAACCTGGGAGCGTCTGAAGACAGCAGGCCATGAGTCGCCATGACAAAAATCTTGTATGCTCCCCTTTCTTTGAGAGTCTCTGCTGCTGCAAGGAAGCTGTCAACATCATCTATGATGTCATCCTGTCAAAATGAGACACAGCCAGTGAAGACTCCACACTTCCTCAAACAGGACAGGCAACAGAGGCAGGCACATCTACTGTAATTCTACAGGTGTCAAGGCAGTAGATTTCTCCAGGTCACCAGTCTACACCCAAACCATATTATTAATATATTGACAGCAACTCTTACTACCCTCTATGGTGATAGAAATGTAGCCGTGTTAGACTGGGGTAGCTGAAGCAAAAAACAGGACTATGTAGCACTTTAAAGACTAACAAGATGATTTATTAGCTTTCGTGGGCCAGACCCACTTCCTCAGATCAAAAGTGGGGCTGGCCTACGAAAGCTCATCACCTAATAAACCATCTTGTTAGTCTTTAAAGTGCTGTATAGTCCTGTCTTTTGTTTCAGCAAGACCAGAATAACACACCTACATCTCTATTACTACTCAAAGAATAGAGTGTGGGAGAGGAGAATTTCAAAGACTCTAACCATGACACCAAAGACAACTCCTCAGAAAACGTTACTCCAAACCTTAAAAACTCAATTTAATAAAACTTTATATTAAAACCCAAAGGCTAATACAATTTCTCCAGTGTCCTGTTAGGTAACAGTTTTTGTTATTGACATGTCTCATCTGCAAGGTTTATATACACGATACTTTGTTCCTCTGAAATGATGCAACAGAGCACACTCTCTTGAACAGAGTTTTAGGTTACCCATTCAGCAGACAATATCAGGTCCAGATCCTGCTTTACTGTGACTATGATTGTATAATTTGGACAATTCATTGTGGTGTTCTTCTAAAACACAAGAGGATTTTAAAAGCTATATAGCTAGATTCAGTCACGTAACTGGAAAGTGTATGAGGGGAGTATTTAATAAAATCCAAAAATATGTTTACTTTAAAAAAAAAAAAAAAAAAACCAGTAAGAAATTCTCCCATAGGACAGAAAAAAAAATATTCCTGGTTTTTAAATTTCCAAACTTTGAAATTCAACAAGGGATAAAACGTGTGATTCTAAAAAGAGCTGGAAAGATTTCAGTTAAGACAAAATGACCATTAATCAAGATGATGTATAGGGACTAAGGATGTAAAATTCCATTTAATTAATTAACCAATTAAACATTCCATTTAACTGGTTAACTGATTAAATGGAGATGGGATGGAGCAGCTCCAGTCCTGCAAGGTTGCTGGTTCCCAGCCCATGCAAGCTGGGAGTAGGCAGTAGCCTTGCAGGAAGAGTTGGGAAGCCAGCAGCCCTCCGGCCACCACTTCTGCTCCATGCAAGCCTGTTGACTTCCCAAGTGCTCCACTGCCACTTCCACTTCACCCCCTACTCCCGTGTGAAGCTGCCTACGCAGCCTGGGAGCCAGCAGCCCTGTGGGGCTGAAGCAGCCCCTCTGCCCATAGCAGGCCATGGGCAAAGGGCTACTCTGGGGTAAGGATGATGCTTACCAGGCAACTGGTTTACCGGTTACCCATTCACATCCCTAATAGGGACCCCAAACTTACACTCACTACAAAAAGCTTTTACAAGTCACCTCAATCATCAGGGCCGTCCCTAATGGGTGCAGGGCCCAGGACAACTGACAAGCGATGCAGCCTGGGGAACATCGTGGTGGGGGGAGGTTGATGGCAGGGATTGGGCCTACACTTGTACTCACCAGCAGTGGCAGCAAGCGGAGTGACTTCGTTCCAGCCCATTCCACTTTGCTGGCTCTCTGCCGTGTCGCTCAGGGGAGGGGGCTTGGGAAAAGTGGTGGATCTCTCCCGGCACTCACTGGCAGCAAAGCACCCCTGCTGCTGGCACCAGGCACCCAGCTAATACCCTGGTTCCCTGTCACTCAGGGGACAGAGCTTGGGGGAAGGGGTGAGGCTCCATCCTGCTCCACCGGCTCCCAGCTGTGTCTCTCCACTTCCCGTCATGAATGTAGGGGGGGGAAGAGTTCCACCAATTTCCCAAGCCCCTTCCCCTGAGCAATGCACCTGGAAGCCTGGAGAGAAGAGTGAGTTAAGGCCAGGTTGCTCCACTTCCTCCCACCACAAGTGAGTACAGGAGTGACCTGACCTCTGTTGCCAGCACTAGGCCCCCCGCGGCTCCCCAAAGCACAGGGCCAGGGGAAGTTGCATTTATGTTATTAAAAACTCCCTTGGCTGTTTATATTATCAAAGTAAAAAGAAAATTGAAATGGTCTTAAACACCATTTTTCCATTAAGGCTGAGTTGCTTGCCATTTTGCTCAAACTCGCTACACACAAGTACACCCCTATTCTGAACATAAGCTTCAGAGAAATCAATACATTTTTGCAACTTCCTCTACCTAAATATCTCTAAGCTCTTTACTAACCTTAATTAACCTCTCTCGTCCTGTCAAGTAAGCTGCTAAATTCATTTTTTTAAAAGGGACACAGAGATAAAGTCCATAATCAAGGAGTTTTATACTGCAATTTCACTTGCTCTCAGTTAATAGAGCCTGTCAAGGGCAGGCAACCTCAGAGTCAACCTAACTGTCTTCCTTATGTGCTTAGAATGCCTGTGTTTGAGTAAGCAACCAAATAATCCATTATTTTGCACTAGTTAAAAAAAAGTTTTAAATGCCAAAAGCTCAGCATTTAATAATGATCCTTCCAACTATAAACTAGGGATGCTAAATATCAGTTTGTTGAATAGTCAAGTAACCTCATGAATTCTTATTGTTAGTCGACTATTCTACAGTCCCTGGGGGAAGAACCGGCAGCCTCACTCCCAAGAAGACCCCTGCCACTCCATGCTGCTGCCAGTGTATCAGAGGCAGCAGTGTGGGGTGCCAGGCGGGAGCTGGTCCCATGAGGGGAGCCAGTTTAAAAAACTAGCTCCCCTTATGGATCAGCTGCCTGTCTCCCTATGTTGCTGCCTCTGATAAAGAGGCAGCAGCCGCCCCTGTCTGGGGGATAGTCTGAATTCCCAAAACCAGCGCAAGACAGAACTGAGCTGGGCTGCCTACCTGCCTGGCTCCTAATACACTTTAAATTCAGAGCCACAGTGGGGGTAGGTCCTGGACCCATCATAAGCCAGGACTGAGTTGGGTTGCTGGCCAGCCTGGGGGGGCGGGGAAAAATGCGTGTAGTCATTCGTGGAAGGCCATTTCAAGATTATAAAGAGAAAGAAATAGAGAATGAAGGACGTTTTAAAAATAACCAAACAAAGTTGTTTTTGAAAGATTTCATTTATATTTGGAAACCAGGACATTAATTTGAGGTTGAAAAATTGAGGTCGAAAAACCAAGATTAGCTCTTCCACTCTTAAATTAAGACTAGAGTGTCCCCAAATCAGGAATTTGACAATTTTAGCTTAGATACATAGGAAAACCCTCAAAATTAGCCCTTCTTTAAAGGACACACACAATTATACACACACACATTCCTAAATACAAAGTGATCAGAATTTTGATCTGAAACATCCACTCACCACAATGATGGCTATTCTTCCTCCTACATCTCCAACAACTGTGATGGGTGGTTTTTCCTTTGGAATCAGCACTATTAAAGGATTAATAAATAAATAAATAAATAAATTACACGCTAAAATGAATGAGAAATTCTTTATTTGTACCAGACATTGTTTCTCATTTTTTCCATAGATAAAAGCAAAGCAGCAACTTTGTCAATCCCTATTATCCCACATACAAAAATGCAATATGAGAGATTAGAATGAAACAGGTAAAATATCCTAATGAACTGCTAACAGAAAAGTCTCCATCTAATGACCAGGAATGCATGAAGCATGGGTTCACTGATAAAGCATTAGGCTTACCGGATGAAGCATAAGACTATTTGTTAGGACTCCAAGCCTATTTGTCATTTGTACAGTGTAAATCTAAAGTGATCGACAAGCACTTTCCCTTCTGAATTCTCACAAAAATTGGTGAGGCACTGTGATGGGATGTGCTCACTCCGCACTGGACAGGGAAGGGTTAACCTTACATTGTGAGTTGAGGAAGCCGTACCTCTTCAACTCTACTGGTGATGCTCCAAATACACTAGTATAAAGGCAGCAGCTCAGCTCAGTTGGGGCTGAGCACTGGAGAAGAAGGATTCATGTTTTAGGCTACAGCTGTGAGGCCTTCAGAGCCAGCGATACAGCCACCCAGGCAGATGCCAGGATATTCCTGAAGATCCCACAGTCTGGAGCTGCCAGGGACAGTGCAGACCAGGAAAACAGGGACAATGGAGATGCCCAGACTGCAAGAAAGGTAACCACGGTAGGAAGCAGCCCAGGGGAATTAGATAGTGGCCCAGTTAGTGAACTGGAACTTTGAGTCAGCATCTTTTGGTTGACAAGCCCTCCTGTGCTGACTCAGTAGCAAGCGCTCTTGCTACTATAAGCCCACGCTCTCCCACTCAGACCCCCGCTAGGGATATAAATATTGTTCAAAACAGTTAACCAGTTAAATGGTTCAAATTATTAACCATTGGTGGGCTGGTGCAGGGCAGCAAAACAGCCAGGGCTATGGGCAGGCATGGCCAGGACTGCTGGTATGACAGGGGATATCAAGGCCGGTGTGGCTGGGGCCCACCTGCCCCCGTCCAGGGCAAGGATCCAAGACCACTGCAGCTGGGGCCAGGGATGCAGACACGGCAGGGCTGTGGGCACAACTGGGGTTGCCGCTGTGGGAGCAGTCAGAACCACAGTACTGCCTGCCCCCACCTTGCGGCTCCACCTGCTGCCCGACCTGTCTTGTCCAGAATCCTGCCACCTGTCCCACCACCAGTCTGATTCTCTGGTTACTTAGTAAGCATTCTGGTAAGCCTAATGCTTACTCGTTAACCTTTACATCCCCATCCACCACCACCCTTTCTGTGATTGGCAGCTTCTTGCCTCTGACTGGGGCCACTAGCTTCTGGCCCTGCTAACAGGAGCAAATCTACTCACTGAAGCCATTTGGCCACAAGGCCTTCTTCTCCCGCTAACAGGGGCAGACCTATTCACTTTGGCCACTAGGCATTACTGCCCTGCTGACTGGGGCTAACACTGACTTTGGTGCATCAGGCCATACTGCCTATGGAGGTGAACACGTTGGCTCTGTCTATTGGGACTTACTGTCTTTCTGATAGGGATGAGTATATTGACGTTTGCGACAGGGACAAACATGGGCGCACACACCCCGCACTGGACAGGGTCCCCCCCAATCCTGTCACAGGCACTTTGGAAAAAGTATCTGCCTCAGTTTCCCTGTCTGTAAAATTGAGTTAATTACCACACAGGATGCTACCAGGCTTAATAAAAGAGGCTGCAGAAGTACAGAGCATCTTAAAGCAATATTTCCACACAGCATTATTTGCCCTTTGCTTCAGAAGCTTGATTCATCTGAAACATGGGCATCACTGCATTCATTTCAAAGCTCTCTGGAGCTATGTCTAGACTATATCCCTCTTTCGAAAGAGGGATGTAAATTAGACATATCGAAATTGCAAATTAAGGAGATCTGTAAGATCGAAATATCCTGTACTCTTCAAAAAAAAAAAAAAGGTTTACAGGATCTTTCGAAAAAGGCTTTTCTTTTCTAAAGAACAGCGACTAAACCACAGTTTCACTTTTGAAATAGCATTTTTCAAAAAGACGCCATGACACGATTATGCAAATGAAGCACGGGAAATTCAAATCCCGGTTTCATTTGCAATTTTGATAGGTCTAATTTACATCCCTCTTTCAAAAGAGGGATGTAGCTTAGACATACCCTGGATGTCTGACAAGTTGTACAGAGGGCTATGTTTCTGACATAGGCACCTTATGCTAATATATGCAGGCAGATCTCAAATTCCTGGATGATCATCCAATGCTGTGCTGAGCAACATTTCTGAAAGCAATGACCCTGATGGGAAAAGCCTTAGAAAAGTGGGCTCAGCATGGCAAGAGCCAAGAGTCCTGGGACGACAGCAAACCTTGCAAATCTTTAATGCTAGCAGTTTTAAATAAGGCTGCTTTTTGCCTTAAGTTATGCCACATGCCCTACTGCAGAGCAGAATGGAATGTTCATCTGACAATCACCCATCCTTCACACAGGGATCACAAGAGTTGGGAAAACTACAAGATGGAATTGTCACATTTGAGACGGAATAAACCAGGGGTGGGCAATAATTTTTGACAGGGGGAAGGGAAGGGGCTACTCCAAGATTTTAGAAAGTGGTCAAGGACAACACTCTTCCATGACGTTAATGGAGAAGGAGGGGGGTTTGGGATGGAGGTTGGGTGCAGGAGGTAGTTGTGACCTAGGGCAGGAGGCTGGGGTGCAGGGTTTTGGAATGTCACCGAGGATAGGAGGGGATTATGATCTGGGTCAGGGGATTGGGATGCCAGATCTGCAAGGGGGTATGGGTGCAGGAGGGGGTAACAGGGTTGGGAAAGGAAGGGGCTGGGGTGCCAGAGGTAGGCTCTGGCCGGGAGACTTACCAGTCAACAGCCCTACCAGTTTGCCTGCCGACCTAAATGCCTGCAGAGCTTAAAACGTTTCTTAACCAGCCAGCCAGCCAGCCTGCCTGCCTGCCCTGTGCTTGCACAGGCTGCAAGGCCATGTGCTTGTGTGAATAACTGAGCCGGAGGGGAGGGGGGGGACATGGTGCTTTGTGTGCTGCCTGTTATTCAAACAGGCAGCTCCTATTGGCCAGTTTCTGGCTAGAAACCAGACAATGGGATTATGCTGGGGCGGGAGCAGCGCCTGAAGCTTCCCCACCCCTCCAGAATCACGGTTTTGAAAAAGAAACAGCCCCACAGCCACTGTTCTGAGCAGAGTGCGGGGCAAGCAGGGGAGCCTGCCTGGGGCTCCCCTCTGCATCTGCAGGCCGGATATGATGGCTTGGTGGACTGGATCTGGCCCACAGACCATATTTTGCCCAGACCTGGAATAAAGGATTAGAATGTATAAAATAAAACTTTCTGCTCTTATAGGATCACATAATCAAACATATTCTAGGCATATTTGGGATTTTTACTTTTGGGGGGGGGAGCATTTTCTGCTCCGTAAATTTGTATTTCCATAAAACTTTTAAAACTCACTGACAGCAGTGACACCTGCTGGTGAATAAATTTATAGTCTGTCGTTTTGCTAAATCACACACAGCTCCAAAACCAAGCTGATATTAAAAGGCATTGATTAAAATTTCTCCCACGAAAGCAAGAAAATTCAAACTTTAAAAAAAAATTACACCTGCCAGTTTCTCAGTGCATTTTCATTTTCTATTCCACAATTTAAAAGGGGGAGGGAGAAGCTAAAAGAAAAACTTATCAAGATGCCAGTTAAATGTCATAATTTGGAAGACATGGACTACAATTCTGTAGTTAAGGTTCCATTCTGAGATAGTTTAAAAACAAAACAGAGGGTTTGGTTGTTCCATTATTTGAGATGCCCTTTCAGTGTGCAACTTCAGTGTTAGAAAGCTAAAGGGCATAAACACTAATCATTTTTATTTTTATGTCTTTTCATGACATTTTATAGCAAGAATTTACCACAGATGTTACTGGATCTGTTACATACGTCTTTTTGCTGTTTAATGGGTCATTTCTGCCTATGGGTCATTATTTTGCTGCTGTTCATCACAACAGAAAGCTTATGCACAACAGGTGATCAACTGACAAAGTCTTCAGCATATACATAATCCTCTCCACAAATACAAATCTTTTTCCATCAAGAAACTGTATTTTTCTATCCTTTTTATGCCAAGAAACCTTAGTTATCAATGAAGAAAGTCGCATGCAGTATTGTAGCTATGTTGGTCACAGGATAGTAGAGAGACCCAGTATGTGAGGTACCTTTTTTTGGACCAAATTCCCAGAGAGACGCTTTCAAACTTATACCAAGCTCTTCAATAGGCCTGAAGTTCAAAAGTTGCTTCTTACCAACAGAAACTGGTCTAATGAAAGATACCATCTCACTTATCTTGTACTTAATAGATGAAGCTGTCATGAGCTACTGCTCTGGTACATTTCCAGGAACCACATCCTCCCACAGATCTACCAGCAATACCTTGCTCACAATGTTGCCCTTCCATCCCAACTACAACATTTAAAAAGCCTAGAAAATTAGGGTTGTACAAAAAATGTTGTAGAACTGTTAACAGTTTTGTCACCGTATGACAAAACCACTTCAGCGAAGAAATGAAAAGTTAAGCCATGCCACTTTCCAGTACATACCTTCTAATCTTCCATCCACAGAGATACACTTAACCACTACCACAGTGATCATATACACAACCATAACTATACCCCAATACATACAGCAGCCATCTATTATCTACCACATTTATTAAACTTCTACTCTAACAAATACCCACAACTGGTAAGTATCGGGAGGAGTTAGTTTAGCAGAAACGTGTGTGCAGAAACAAGAGCTGAAATGGCAGTGACACACATGGCCAAGAAAAGGTTAGGCATCCTGCAGGATAAATTACCCAAACGCAACCTTTATGAACGTAACAGTAGATAATATTTGTGTTTCGTGTGTTTGCATGTACACTGTTAGGGGTTAACAATGTAATCAAATGTTCCTGTGGTCATCTCCCTTAAGTGTGTAACTAATCATCTGTGAATGGCAGACTATTGTCTTATGCTAATCCATATAGCTAATGATGGTGATGCTTGGGAGATGGATCTATTTGGAAGTCTCTGTGATTGCCTATTGGTCACCCAGGTCAAGAAGCTGCTGGAAAACTATATAAAGACCCTAGGGACCTGATCTTTTTCCATCTCAGATATTCCTGATGCTTTATCAGGAAAAGCTTTAAGTCATAATATTTGAGAGCTCCAGTCCCATCTGGATTTATTTATCAGTTTTAAAACTAATAAAAGAAAAAAGAAAGTTCTTCTTCACACAGCGTGTAGTCAACCTGTGGAACTTCTTGCCAGTGGAGGCTGTGAAGACTAGGACTATAACAGAGTTTAAAGAGAAGCTAGATAATTTCATGGAGGTTAGGTCCATAAAAGGCTATTAGCCAGGGGATAAAATTGATGTCCCTGGCCTCTGTTTGTCAGGGGCTGGAGAGGGATGGCAGGAGACAAATCGCTTGATCATTGTCTTCGGTCCACCCTCTCTGGAGCCTCTAGTGCTGGCCACTGTTGGCAGACAGGATACTGGGCTAGATGGACCTTTGGTCTGACCCAGTATGGCCTTTCTTATGGATTCCACACTGAAATATAGCTATTGGACTATAACTTATGGACTAATTCTATAAAAACTCTGTGCAACTACAAAGCTCACTAGATCTCTACTATGAATCTGGACCTCAGAACTGTTCTCACGTCTGTAGGTATACTGATCTTTAAACCAGTTCTCTCTCCTCTTTTTTAAATACATTTTAATTTAATAAGAATTGGCTATAAAAGTGTGTATCGGGGTAAGATCTGAAATATTCATTGTAGGTATTGCACACTCATACAGGACAGACATAAGGAAAAGCTGTGTGTAAGAGCAAAACTTTGTCTCTTTCAACAGAAGTTGGTCCAATAAATGATACCTCATCCACCTTGTTACTGGGACACACAGTTCTGCACTCCTGCAAATTTTAGGCACTACAAGAAAAGGGTATCAGGAGTAATTCTTTGCTAGTGTATTTGACAGCCAGAAAAACCCAATGTATAAGCAGTTGCACACACACATACTTACTGGGTATCTCCAAACTAGGATGAATAGCAGATACACTTTTGACTGTAGGAGGTGAATGTCGACCATCCACCAGATCAGATTCAGCATCTTGAGCTTCCCCATGAATCACAGCTATTCCCAGCCTCAAGCGCTCAGCAAACGACTGTGCTCTGCAGGGAAGAATATATTGAAGTTAAAATAACTCAAACACCCAATATAAGCCTATTTTTTCTTCTAAAATAGAGGAAAAGTAAATGATTCCTACAACCGAGGGAAAGAAAGCAGGGATTATTTCTAGAAGACACCTTTTAATCATTGGGTTTGGGAAAGTTGATATTCCTGAAAGCATTTGCACTGGACTTGCCAAAGTGTTTCAAGCCTTGACAAGTAACAGAACAAGTGTTAATCATGCAGCTCAGATTACCATCTTGCTTCTTTCATCTTTCAGCTGCAACATGAATTAAAAATCAACTGTTAAAATCATGTAAAACTATCACCTTACATACTTCTGCTTCACTTCAGGCATGAGTTTAAGGGCCACAGTGCCGTGACCCAATACAACCCTAATTTATAACCCTGATGGAGCCACAGATCTTGGGCCATAAAACTATCACTCGTCTCTCAGTCTAGCAGTGTTTTTGACAGTGATCCACAACTAACTATAGCAGATCCAAGACCTCAGATTAATTTGCATTTCTTTGGCAAATGCTTTTTCAAATGGGAATAAATAGAACCCATTTTAAAATTAAATTAATGAATACAAGAGGTGAACTGAATGGGACAGAATAACTTAGATATTCCTCTAGGATATCCATAGTTGCAAACCAGACTAATAACACTCAAATAATCAACTATTTAACCTATTGACAGATCACTTGCCACAAATCAAGACCTGAGTTTTAGTAAACTTGGAAAAATAAAAAAATCCCTTACCATACACCATTTCTTCAGTTGCAATCTGGAATTATGTAAAGAGTCGATATTAAGGAATTTAGGGTACAAATGTAGATGTTTTAAAAATAAAGCTTTCAATGAAATTTTAAAATGTCAGTGAATAGTTTGATTGCTAAGAGGAAGAAAACAAAATTTCTGCTGGTATTTGCATCTCAAATGCTGAGTAGAGGAGGATAGCAAGTGAAAAAGTAGAACTGACAAGTCTAGCTTCATTGTACAAGTCAAGTCAAGTACAAGTAAGCAAGCAGCATCACTGGGCAAGCTAAGGCCAGGTCTACATTAGACCTGCCAGATCAGCTGAAGGTAGCTTATCTTAAAATGAGTTTGGCAGCATTGCCACAGCGGGAGGCAGACAGGAGCAAATGCTTCCGTCAGCTTTCCTTACTCCTTGAAGAGCAGGAGTACCGGATGCTGGAAGGGATGCCCTGAGTTCCATTTAGCAAGTCTTAACTAGATTCACTAAATCAAACTCCAAAAATCAATTGTGGCAGCGTCAGTCTTCCAGAGAACAAAGACAATGCCTAAATTAGACTAAGAGTCTTTCATTTAATCTATGGAGTTGTTAAGGATTTTTTAAAATAAATATTTAAATACAGCATAATATTTTATTCCAACAAGCTGCTTTTTAATTTATACAAATCTAAATAAACTTTGTAAAACTCTTACTTGGTTAACTGACAAAAATCAGGACACCAGATTAATCTGAATAAAAACTTAGGCTGTATGCAAAATGATTTTCCCTTAATTTTGCAATGAGACCAGAAACTGAACAATATTCTGAATATAACAGACTCAGCCATCTCCTGTCACAGATATGTATTCAAAAGAAAAATGGAGGCTGGCATTTGTCTTTGGTTATTTTCAAGAGTTTATCTCCCCTTCCCAAACAATTTATTTTCTTATAGAATACTTTAGCTTTCTCAGATTTACAAATGATTTCAAACATTTAGAGGAACCAACAATTTGACTACGATTTTTTTTCCAATGTTTTCTATGCTGTCTTGTTTAGGTCAAATTTTCAGCTACAGATGCAGATACAGAAACAGGAGTACATGTGTGTTCTCATATGTTCCTGTGCAAATCTAATAATAATGCATTTAGGTTTTCTATTTGCACACAATTACTTGACATGATGAGCAAATGCAAGGACTTATATTGATATTTTTGGATGGTATGTATAGATGTGTCCAAATAACATAGTTAGGGAATGGGGAAGAGGATGCAGGCACCATGCAGAAACTAGCTGCCTCAAGTGGAGCAGAAAGGCAGAGCACCTACTCTTCTTCAACACCAGCCATTGTTGCTACCCTGCTCAAGATTAAAAATGCAAGATGTATCTCCTTAATGGGTGTAGCTGACATACTCTACCTGCACACCCAAGAGCCCCGAAAGACCTTGTGCTTCCTTGTTGCGCAATGCCTACAGGAGCTCCCAGGAGGGAAAGGCAGCTCTGCTCAGCCTCCAACACTAATCTGTGACCAACAGGCATGATTAACCTTCATGAAACACTAGGGAATCACTGTACTCATCACCAAAACGCAAGCAGTCCTGGAATGGAAGGACATAGACCATACGCCACTTCAGGACAGAAAAATAATCTTTTATCCAACTACACTGTTATAGTTTCACAGCTTTAGATAAATACTTACCACTCCAAGTGCCAGGCAGGAGCTGATCTGTGAGGGGAGCCAGTTTAAAAACCAGCTCCCCTCGCAGGCCGGCTGTCTGTCGCCCTGTGAGGCTGCTTCTGATACAGAGGCAGCAGCACGGCATGGCAGGGTCTCTCTCACGCACGCATGCACGGTGCATACATGCACATTAGTCGACCTTAATTTTTTAAGCTTAATTGAAAAACTAGTCATTGAGGCTACAATGATTTCCCAAGTATTCTATATCCACATGAACCCAATGTTATCTATACAGTGATGTAAGTTATTAGCATCAGCAATACGGACTACTCAGTTCCATGTATAAATGAATTGGTCATGAGTCCTTCATTTTGGGTATCATTTCATATGCCAGTGCCCCGAACTTAATGATGCAATCAGGAACTATGTTAGTTACTATTGCTTGCGGCAATCAAATGGAGTGGCTCATACGCACCTCTTTGCAGACGCAGGTGATTTGGCTACAATCACAGCATTCCTGTAATCTGGGATCTGCAGCAAACAGAGATCATCTGTGTCATAGCTTTTATAGACACTTAAGTTCATTAAGCGCTACATATAATTTTACAATTTAATTTTTTTTAAAAAAAAATCTAAAGTATAAAATAGTTCAAGTTTAAGCAAACAACCCTAGTTTCGAATGGCTGATTTTACAACCTTAAAAATGTTCTTGTAATGTTGTTTTGTGTGTGTGTGATTTCCTACATTTTTTAAAAATAAACTGAACCCCCCCCCCCCCCGAATTCCATCAAGTGGCATCATACTCACACCCATACTGATCATCAACCGAAGGGAACATTTATGTCTATTGCACAGACCAGTACCACTTGATCAAACAGAATAACTGGTAATAGTAGTAGACTGTCATTTTATGTGGCCCAACGTTAATGGGGAACAAGAATCTTAACCACAGGGTTTCACAGTTATTTGCTGATCAGAGGAAGGCTCAGACTCAGGAATCTATTTCAGATTCTGGAGGGAGTGTGATCTAGGTGGCACAAGTTCTTCTGCCCACTCCTCTCAAGCATAACGACTCTAACTTGTCACAGTCTTGTTTCTTCCCCCCTTCTGGCTTCTCATCCAAGTTCTCCACACTTAGCTAGTCCCAGTTCTGCCCATTTCACTGTTTCTGCTCCCTCTCCCCACATTCTGTTCTCCATCCCCACTGGCTTCCACTTCAGGCTCCTCGTCCAGTCTGTGTTCTTACCCCCATCCATGGCTCCTTGTTCCAGTATCTTTGCCCAGACGGTCCCAGTTTTGCCTCGAGACCCTGGATCCTTATAAGCTTACTCTCTTCCCCCTCTCCACTGGCTCTGGATCTCATTCTGCTCTCTCCTTCCCTCCCAACTCCCAGTTCCCTCTCCCTGCACAGCCCCTGTCTTCACCCATCCCAGTGTTCTTGACCCGATCTTCCCTACCTCGTTTCATCAAGTCCAAGTCTTGTTCCTTTCACATTCAAATCAGGCAGCTTCCTCCTCCATCAGCCAAGAGGGGAAGAGGAATCACTGGGAACACAGAGGAGAGAGACTCCCTGTTCCACAGTTCAGACGGCCAGACACCTTTGCAGGGAAAGTCCTCCTCAGACCCAAGCTAGAACACGCTCAGTGTAAGCAGAATTTTTGTAGAATTTAGCTGCTAAAATCTAAGAAGCCTCTACTAATTATATTTAAATTGACTTTTCAAAGTCTTACAACCTGGCCAACTGTAGGTGGATTTTCAATACACAGCAAAAGGCAGATCTCTAATAGGGATGTTAGATAGAGATTAATTGGATTGTTGTGTAACCACACAAAATATTATTGGTTACACGACTATTCGATAGTCCCCAGGGGTAGGGGCAGAGCCAGCAGCCACGGCACTCCCAGTCCCACTTCTGGGGAGCCCTCTACCAACTCGCACTGCTGCCTCTGTATCAGCAGTCTCTGTCCACGGGAGGCCTAAACTTCCCACAGACAGAGGCTGCGGCAGCATCCCAGGGAGCAGCCTCCCCTGCCCTGTCCCACCCACACAGCTGCCTCGGATAGTAGCAGCAGCAAGGGGGTGGGGAGGCGGCTCCACAGGAACTGGTGCTCGTGGGGAGTGGTTGATACAGAGGCGGCGCGGGGGGGGGAGAAATGCCTGTAGTCAATAAGAATAACCAATAAGCCTAGTCTTATTGGTTAATCGTGTACATGACTACATGTTGACATACCTAATCCCTAACACCGAGGCCATTTCCTGTCCAATCCTTGCTCCAAAACATGGAGTGCTAGATAAAATGTATCAAGATTTTAAAATGGACAAAACAATGTATTTTTCCCTAGCCTTACTTCTGAAACAATTGATCCATTTTGGCTAAAAACTTCAAAATTATTTAGCTTGAAGCAGACAACTAGCATAGAAAATGTTAACCCAAACAGGTAAGTTTACCTAAGTTCTAAGCAACACAATGCAGATCTTACAATAGAAAGTGTCAGGCAACATTAATAATAGATGGGGCTTCTAGCCCTGCTACAAGAAATATGAAAAGGAAAAAAAAAAAGTGTGGAAGTCTTCCTCCCCCCCCTCAAGTAGGCATGCTCCTTTACAGATCTTGCAAAATTAGACAAGTCATATTGAAGAGGCATACAATGCAAGGTATGGTCAAGGTAGGGCATGTCCTTTAACATACTGTAGACTCTATTTCTATTCAAACAGGATTGTCTCACGTTTAACTACCAAATCTCCAAAGGTGATTTCCATTGCTCAGTTCATGAAAAAGCTAAGTGAACAAACTGAAACTGGTCAACAATACCCTTCAAAACTTAAAATATGGGCAGTGGCAACTCCTAGCAGCAAAGTGTTATATTAAGTCACTAACATCTAAGTGCATGCTGTATAGTCTGTGAAGTAGATATCAAATGTTCACTAAATAAGCAACACAAACATTAAGCCCATGAAATCCTTATGCCACACAGTATCCAAAGAAATGAGTAGCCTGGGTGGAAGAAAGTCCAATTTCATCTTCAGTTCTTATAAAAATATATGTAGGAAATGATCATGGAATGGACACCAGAAGCTCCCAACCTTTACAATTTGACTCATGGTTTGAGTTCTTTCTTTGTACATATCCATTTATCAAGTTGAACTTGTTTCGTACTATTCGATACATCCCATTAAAGACACTAACAAACATTTTGCAAGCTGTAGCTTTCAAAATGCATGACATCTAGAACATATATGGTAACCATGAAATGCAGATGAGTTCTTCCTGATCAGTGTTACATAGCAACTTTATAAAGAGATTCACATACAACATAGGCCTCTGAATTGACTAGAAGGCACTAAGTATGTCCATATCCTGGGAAACTAAGTATGTAAGGTCCTTTTAGTTAGAATGACTTGCAAGAAAGTAAGATATCAAGCAGAGAAAAGATAAAGCAAGTGAAATAAGAAAACAATCTTCTAAATATTCACTCCCACAGGAGTCTGCCAGCTTTCAAAAAATCTGCTGGTGAGCTTTATACTACTGCCCTCTTAGCTAGTGAGGATTTTCTAACATATTAAATCAGTTAACTACTGGCTAAGAAAAGATCACTGCCCCTAAAGTTGACAAGTTCCTCAATCAAGTTTAAAAATATGTCATAGCAAATACACATCATCGACCATTTAGTACAAAGGAAAGCTATGCCTATATAAAATAATCTCTTAGGTCAATGAGTGCCTCCACTGGGCAAATAGCTATGTGTCTAATTTAGGATGGGAAGCATTCCTGTTCTTCCAAATCACTGGACTTTAGCCACTGAGAGAAGCAGAATGTTACTAGGGATGTAATAGGATAACCATTTACATGGTTAACCGATAAGCCTGGTCTTATCAATCACCAGGAATGGTTACACACAGGCTCCTGTCCTGCTCCTGAGAAGCGGGCTGCTACTCTGCGAGTGGGCTCTATATCAGAGTCCACAGTGTGGGGCAGCAGCTGGCTCCCTGAGAGTGGGAAGGAGCCAGGAGCCGGTATGCAGAGGGAGCCAGCTTAAAAACCGACTTCCAGCATGCATTGGCTCTCGGGGAGCCAGCTGCTGCCCTGTGCTGCTACTGCTGTATCAGATACTGCACTGCAGAGTGGCAGCCAGCTCCCCGGCAACGGGGCTGGCAGGCAGGAGCGGGTACACGCTGACTATACCGTTACTCAATTACCCTCTTTTTAACGTCCCTAAATGTTACAATAAATATTTTTCTCTAAATATCACTTTATATCCACAAGTCTTTCTCTACTTCCTCAATTCACATTTGTACAATGATATACGTTTACACTTTCATAAATTAATAATCCCTAATCCAAACTTTTTATTTTGGTGTTTACAGAGTAGGAAGAATTTTGATGTGTGGAAGAATAGAAAAAACAAAAAAAATACCATTTTAAAACTCCCCCAAAGATGAAATCCCTTCTCTTTTCTACAGACTTTTAAAAATATATTGAATTTCACTCTAAGTGTCTTTACAGATGTTCTAAACCTAGGGATAATCTGAAATACAACACTGAAAAGACAACTCTCACGCACATTAGTAGACCTTGCTCACCTCTTCTTGAATGTACTGAAGTAAGAATGGAGATGCTCTCAAATTATCAACTGGAATATTAAAGAACCCCTGTATTTCCTTCTGATGTAAATCCATAGTAATAAGGTGAGTTAGACCTTTGAAAAGAAAGTACACTTAAAAGCCACTGTATAAAAACCAAACAGCACAAACCTAGATATGATCTGTAAATATCAAATTTACTCCTCCTGTAGCTTTCACTTATAATTGTTTAGAACATGAAAATTCTATTATACTTGAACAAAATAATACTAGTTTTATTGTAATATACATAGTAAAAAAATTCCCATTAAGATTTATAGGGTATTAAATTAATAAAGAGTACTTTGCACTTTTGTAGTGCCTTTTACCAAAGCCCTCACAACAATTTACAAAAATTAACTAAAATTCTCAATACCCCCATGCCACACATAAGTGCCACTTCCTTTCCAGATTTCAAGAAACTAAGACAGAGATTAAGTCATTTGCCCAGGGTCATACAGTAAGGCTATGACAGAGCTGATATTGTAACTCAGAGTTCCTGACTCCTGATCCCAAATTCTAATTACTCCCACACTTCTTCCCACGAAATGAGACTCAATATTTAATTAACTCTACAAGACCAGAACACACTATTACACAGCATATCTATGAAGTGTTCACTGTAACTATCCACATGATCCAAGGACAGGTGCCATGGGAAAGAACAGGAAGGTCACTCTTCTGGAAGAATCAGGGGAATTTATCCCATATCTCAGATGTCACCTTAAAAGTAAACACTAGGTGTAAGTGGGATCACCCAACAGATAGGCAAAAAGAGAAAGTGACAGAAATACAACTGCCCAAGGGAGAGTTAGGAAAAGAGAGAAGGCATCCAGCAGCAGTACCAAAGCAAAGGAACCCATCCTTCCAGGATAGTAGGAAATCTGGGAGACTTATCATACAAACTCACCTTGGCACAAATTCTACAGTGGCTGTTATAAAGATGTGCTCATTTTAATCCAGCATTTCACTCACCACTTTGTATTGGTTTTATGTTGGATTTTCCTCACAAGGGTTTAAAATTTCCTCTTGCTAAAAATCTTTTTAGCTATTTCTTATTAAAGTTCTCAGTTTAATGCATACAGCTGTCAAGTTAAATATGACATCAGAAGCCCGCCATGCCCTGATTATTTCACAACATCCTGCATTCTTACCAGCTTTGCACATCATCGAAGCCAGTAATTTAGAGACAATGGAGCCCCTTTTCCTCATCTTGCACTGCTTGCTGTATGGGAAGTAGGGAACCACTCCAATAATGCTTTTGGCACAGGAGGTTTTACAAGCATACACCATGATCAGGAGCTCCATGATCGTAGTATTCACATCCCTGGAATGAGAAGTTTCTAGTTCTGTATCCACACATAAATTTCCTTTAGCTGAATCCAATGTGATACCTGCATCTGCTTCAAGGAACTTCATCCCACTGAAGAAAAGCTGGCAACTGAAATACCCATACAGGGAATCCAAATACGCATCCCAGGTAGGCCACTGCACTTGACAGGCTATTTTAATTTCTCAATAGGACTATACTTCATTATTTCTTCTCCTGTTGCCTGTTCACCAACCTCATTGTTTAGAGGGACATTTTCAGGACTTTATCAGCAAAACATACTAACCGGAATAAGGCCTACACTGTAAGTTGTCTCCAACATCTTTGCACCACAAGATAAAAATTGCGTAAATATATTTTCACTATGGACAGGTCTAACAGTTTTAGATTCCTATAATATAGTAATCTATCATTTGGGCCAAAAGTAGGCCTTAGCCAACACTAGGCATTAAATATTTGGCAATTAACGTCTTATCTCCTCTGTCTCTAAAGAAAAAGACTGAGTGAAATATTTTAACATGGAAGGACTGATCACCAGGTAAACCAGTCCTATTATTTCTGCTGCTGTCAGAAACCAGAGGGATTCCTCTGCATGTATGTTCTTGAGAACATACAATTATGTTGCTTAATTAAGTCACAGGAGCCATTTGCTTTGAAGTAAGTGTTCCCATATTTAAAAGCATTAAGTGGTACTGCATTCAGGGTAGCCAACCGCAACAAGATTTTAAAGTAACAGAATGAACATTAAAAAGAATGCAGAAACCCAGGAAGCAAAATCCAAATTCATCCGAATATAGACAAAATAACAGTCAGATTATAATAAGGTCCCCTAAATACACACTTTCTAAATCACAGAAAACAACTGGCCCACCTATGAATCTCTCATATGGACAAAAAAAGAAAACTGAAGACAAAAGAATTAGTAAAGATAAACCATGTCTACATAAAATCACACATTCTAAAGAAGCTATTCTAGTTTCTTTGAAATGTGTGTTAGTTGTTACTCACTTTGAAACTGTTTGGATGATAAAGACATCTTTTCCTCTCACTGACTCTTGAATTTGCACTCTTGTTTCTGTCAAGAAGAGAAAGATAAGTTGAAACTCTCTAGGCGATCAAGACCTGACCAGTACTGAACAGAGAACTTGCCAAACCCTAGCAGGTCAATACTGTTTAGCAGCAATACTTGCAGTGTCCAACACACTAGCCACTAGTGGCTATTTGGCTGATTGAATGTGGCTACTTGGCTTGAACAACGTGGCTACTTGGCTGGTAGAGTGGCTAGTTCTCTATTTAGCCACAGTATAGTGGCTACTGTTTCAGAACTGGTTGGACACCATGGAGCAACACCAACACTTCCACTGCTTACTGGACTCTTAGAAGACATTAAAAGGGGGTAAATTAGAGCTAAACAACAGCACAGAACACTGAAGGCCAGGACTGGTGGCTATAAACAAACTTCATGGGATCGTGGGAAATCTGGCCACTCCCATGATAAGTGCACATCCAGCTAACTAAAGTCATGCCAGACCACAGATTTGGCTACCAGAGAAGTGCTGGACTAGAGATGTTAAACATATACAAAGATTTAATAAACATACAACAAGACTTCATCAAATTGCTCCACAAATTCATTATGCACTATAGACCAATCTAAAAACGAAATAATTTCTCCACCTTCAGACTGAAAGAGAATAGCCATTTTGAAGACAATACTCATGGTCAAATTTACAGACTTACGTGCATTAGCTGCACAACTCGCACTAATGATAATGTGAGTCATATGATAAATTCCCACATTAGGATTTGAAAATGTATCCTTTTGGATCTAAGGAAGGTGATGATGGTGACTACTTGCATGAACCCTCTGAACAATAGTGTTGCACCATGACAATAGCAGCATTTAATGAGGATGAAGGAACAACATAAAAAAGGCTAACTGGAGACAGTGTGTCCATGCGTGCAAGAGAGAGAGAGATATGATCACAAACAAAAACAGGTGGTCTGGAAGAATGATAGTTCTCAGAAGGCAGAAGGACGAGAGGTAACAGAACACATATATAAGAGAACATAAACATGAAAAAATGATGCTTCACTTTTCTGTAAATAAATTCTGAAGAGGGTTAAGTAATATACTGTCTCCCACAGAAGCAGAATGAGAGGCTTATTAAGCCAGCGGTTTGCAATGCCATGAACCCATCTGCCAGGCAATGGCACACTGCCAGGGCACGCCCCAAGCTGCTAATGAGCCCCGTCCACTGGGGTTCCCCACACAGCAGCAGTATGAGTGGACATAAACATGGCCTGGTGGGCAACTGGGTGTGCTGCAGCTGGAGTCAGGGCCACAGTGAGGCTGACCCTACTGGGGCAGCCTCACAGTGGCCCCAGTTCTAGAGTTGGCAGGGCCGCGTAATGGGCAGCTGCAGCAATTGGCCAGGACCAAGTGCCGCATGGAGCCTGGCTGCCATGGCACTCGGCAGGGCCCCAGCACGCTGTGGGCTCTGTGCAGCACTTCCACCATGCAGCGAAGCGCTCTGTGCTCAGCTGGCGGCTGGAAGGCAGCGGCAGGGCTAGGTAAGGGGGGTTCTGGGGGTGAGGCTAGTGCTTGGGGGGCTCTAAAAGGCGGGAGGGGAGAGCTGACACTGAGGGGCATGGTGACATCCAGAATGGGGGGCTATAGGGGTGGGGCTAGTAATGAGTGGGCTGGGGGTAGGACTGGCACTGGGGACAGGGTTAATGTTGGGTACTGAAGGCTGGCACAGGGGCGAACCTGGGGGACTGGGTGCAGTGGGGCTCTGGAAACAGGAGACGGGGACTGAGGCATTTGGGGTAGGGGGGCTGGCACTAGGGGACTCTGAGGGAGAGAGGCTGGCACTGGGCAGTTGGGTGAAGGGGACTCTAGGATCAGTGGCTGGGACTGGGAGAGCAGTGGAGGGGTGAGGTGCTCTAGAGGTTAGGGCTGGCACTAGGGGCCGGGGCTTTTTGTATCAGGGACCGGCAAACCCATTCACAAACTTCTGGTGGACCGGCAACATTTTTATTTGCATATTCATATAATTAATATGCAAATAAAATGTTGCCGATCCACCAAAAGTTTGTGAGTGGGTTTGCCGGTTCCTAGTATAAAAAAGGTTGGGAACCACTGTATTAAGCCATTAAATGCTCACCTCTGTTTGGCTCCTGATAGACCTGAACTTTACCCATCTCTAACCCTAGGCGTCTGAAAAGAAAAAAGAAAAGCAAAAATCAGAACATTACACCGAAGAGAACGGACACCAGAATAAAGAAGCAGCCCAATCTAATGTTAATAGCACTGTACAAAACTACAATTCATAAATCACAAGACAAATGTTTTATTATGAAATTTCTCACAAATCTGTATTTTACCAGTTACATTGCAGATCGATCTAAGCCTGTCCACAATTAAAAACAAAAACAAAGAACATTAAAATAATTCAAAGTTATGAAAATTAGGCAACAAGTTTCTCATCATTATCTACATAATGTCATGGATGTGCATGCGGCTTCACAAGACTGAGTTTAAACTGGTCCTTTCCCAGGGAAATTTCCTTTTGAGACTAAACGAGGTAAAATAAGGGCAAGAGCAGACAAAGCTGTAGTTAATAAGCTTTTGAAGGTTAAACTACAATTGACTATATTAGCATAGAAAGACCAATTACTAAAAAGGAATTAATAGCATGAATTAGGGATGTTACATATCGGGTAACTGAACAGTCGTGTAATTGCATGGAATCTTAGCGGTTACACAGCTATTTGATAATTCCCAGGAGTGAGGCCAGCAGCCAGTGCGCTTCAGCCCCACTCTCGAGGAGCCCTCTGCAACCCCGCACTGCTGCCTCTATATTAGAGGCAGCAGCGCAGGCTGGAAGGCGGGAGTCAGTCTGCGAGGGGAGCCAGTTAAAAACCAGCTCCTTGCTGCCCCGCACTGCTGTCTCTGATACAGAGGCAGCTGCACGGGATGGCAGCAACCCCTGTCTGCAGGGGTCCAAGCTCCCCATGGACAGAGGCTGCTTGAGGGGTGGGGGGAGCAGAGGGAATGGGGAGGCGGTTATGAAGCAGCCTTTTGTCTGCAGCTGCCTGGCCACATACAGAGGTAGGTCTGGCAGCAGCCTCTGTCCACCGGGAGCTCAGACCCCCACACTCGTGCGCTGCTGCCTCTGACAGAAGCAGCAGCACGGGGTGGAACCGTGGAGCTACTGCTGGGGGGAACTGGCAAGGGAGGGAGATTGTGGGTAGCCGACAAGATTAACCAATAAACCTAGGCTTAGCAGTTAATCGTATAGTCCATTACTCGTTGACATCCCTAGCATGAATGATGCACAAATATGTCCATATCCAAATACTGTGCAATTTTAGCCCTCCCTCAGTACCCTTCTTGTCTGTTCTTCTTATGTCATGTCTGATTTAGACTATAGGGAAGTAAGAAACCTGTCATGACTGAAATTTCTAAATGCCTCATGAAATACGATACAGATTTATACAAGACATAAGAGATTAGCACACATTATACAAAAGACCCTCTACATCTAAATAAACTTGTATTGAGCAGAAAGGACAAGCCTTGATAACTAACAAAGCCATAGTACATATGGAAAGAAAAACCAGTGGATTTTTCTACCATATAGGATTATTAACAATATCCAAATAGGAACTTTTGTAACTTATGTTTCCCAAAAAATATGAAAGTGGCCTTTCACAGCTTTCAAACCAACAAGCCAGATGTAAATGTTTTCTTTGTTATTCGGTGAATAAATTACATGCCATCTTCAAAATACAACTATTGTAAAGATTTTAAGTGAGATACTAACACTGAGTGCTTATCACTGGAAAATGTTCCCTAATTTGAATGTTCCATGGTAATGAAAAAAGTGTTATCAGGGTTTATACTATCCTAGATGTAGGAATTCAATTCTATGGATGCCAAGGCAAAGTGATCCAACAACAAACCTCACCCAGCTTGCTAACCTGAGTTTCACCATAAACCCCTTTATTATATTTACTGCAGACAGCCGTGATTCAAAGTTCCTTAATCAGCAAAGCCTAGACTATTAGAAAGTTATTTAAAATGACTGCAGACATCTAAAATATTTATTTTCATATATGCAAGCTTTGGTGATCAGGAACAAAGATTTATTGTACTGACTGTGCATGTTGTAGGTAACTATTTTTCCAAACAATGGTGCAGTTTTACTAAGAAACATTACAAAACATTCTTATCTGCTGTAGACTGATCTCAACTCCCAACCCACCTGCACCAATATCCTACACTGCTGAATGGGCAGTGGGTGAACCTAGGGCTGGGGAAGGAAACTCTCCCCCGTTGCCCAAGCTCGTCTCTTCTACACCAGCACCCCGCAGGAGTCAAGTCCCCCAACCACAGAGGCAGGTCTCCAGCTCTCCCTCAAGCCAACCTCTGACCCCGGAGCACAGGGAGCACAGACAACTCCAGTGTCCCCAGCCTCAGTGCGTCTGAAGCCCACGGGCATCCCTGGAGCCACACTGAAGCAGGGAACAGAGTGTGGGTGAGGCCACGCTTGGCAGTTTGGCAAAGCCATGCCTTCCCCTCCCTCTTATACCTACTATGATGGCAGCAAAGACTAACCACTGGATAGTACTTACTCAGCAATTCTCCTTGATAGTTCCATGCAAGATGAATTGGAATTAGCAGAAAACAGCACCAGCCCACCCTTTGTTATATTCATGATGGCTCCTAATTCAGTTGATTCCACACAAAACATCAAAACCTACTTTGTCTTTCCACTTCTAAAATACTGCAAAAAAATGAAAGACATATTGAGCATTATAATATTTACTGTAGAAAGAAGTTGCCTTTGAATATGGGCTGCAGACTAACTCATCCTCCTGCAACCTCACACATAATTGTTCTGTAAAAACAAAGTAAGAACAATATAACAAAGAGGGAATCCTTACAGCACTTCTTTGTACTTTTTAAAGATTGGGGCACTTACACCAAGTCTCAGTATCACTGCTCTATAGCTACCTACAATACACATACTGTATATGTTCCCTTATTTTTCAATACATTATAAACTTACAAATAGGGGTTGAACTTAAGGAAGAGTTCAGTAAAGTTGGCAGATGTAACTAATGCCCTCTTGTACAATGCATCCACTGGGTCACGTAGCTGTTGTCATTCTTTCACACTAAAATTGCTCCTATGGAAACACCACAGAGAAAACAAACATTGAAGAGAGAATTTAGACACTTTTATTCAATAAAGACACAAAACAATCATATCAGGGTTTTTCCATACTCTTTATTCTAGTTTGAAATATCACATTTTCGTGCCACAAGGTACTAGAGCATTCCAGTGACAGTATCATGATGAACTGCAGCCATCACTGTAGACATGAAGTACCACCTCAATTAACAAAGTGCTAAAAAGACAGCAACTTACTTTTTAAATATATACATACTTCAATATCTTCAAAGGGTCTTTCAGTATTACCCAAAGAACTGAACGTATCCATGCTCACACTTTGGAAAAAAACCAAAACCCTCAAACTGTGGCAAACAAAGGAAGTTAACTTACGCTAATGTCTCCATCTCATACCTTACCACAAATGTCTCCAAACAGAGATAGCAAGAATCTAACAAAGGTACAGAATCCATGGTAGGACAGTTACCACACCCTCTTATTAAGTATTCTAAAATAACATCTACAAAAATGACTGTGTGAATTAGTCACATTTATGGAAGTAGCTGTTTGATTCCAACACTAGCTATATTAAAGCTGTTTTACCAGCCTTTGCAACTAGACCTATGCTTAGTCAGTTTGCCCAGGATGCAGAAGCTGTACATAGCTCATCAGCAGTTGAGAGCCAACAAGAAAATGGGAATTTCCTACAAATGAAATATTCCACCACTGTGCATCACTTTGTTCAGTTTATGTGAATCAAACACTGGCTCATGCTACCACAGAAGCTTCTGAGAGGGGGAAGTTGGAAAAGGAAGAAAACCACTTGTGCAACTAGTAAGACAGATCAGATCTTGCAGCATTCCCTATAAACTGTGCGCTTGTGCGGCCACTCAGAAGAAATTCACATCCCACCCAGCTGACCAGCAGAGTGCCCACAGTTAGGTTGTTTCTGTGGGTGGCATACATTTGCACATGCCTCAGTGCACATAAGAATTTATTCCACACCTGGATGGAAAAAATCCACATATGGATAGAAAATTAGAGGGAACATTGACCCCAGGCCCTTTCAATTCTTGCGCTCAGCTGAGACTATCAATAAGAAAGACTATCAGGCTATTCTTATTTTTGTAAGTACAACCTATATACTTTTCAACAATGTAAGTTACCACTGACAAAAGCACAGGTGTAGACAGTGCTATGTTGGCAGGAGCATCATGGTTTGGAGAGTCCTGGCTTGTGCCCAGTCTCCCACTATATAATATAATGGAGATCACCTATCTCCTAGAACTGGAAGGGACCTTGAAAGGTCATCGAGTCCAGTCCCCTGCCTACACAGCAGGACCAAGTACTACCCCTGATGAATTTTTGCCCCAATCCCTAAATGGCCTCCACAAGGATTGAACTCACAACCCTGGGTTTAGCAGCAGGTCAATGCTCAAACCACTGAGCTATCCCTCTCCCTCCACTGTGCCTCCGCTTCCCCTCGCTTACATCCCTAGTCCAGACTAACCTTCAAAGTTTGGATCAGTTTGAGAAACTAAGGGTGTGTCTAGACTACCTAGTTTTGTCGACAAAAGTGGACTTTTGTCGACAAAACTATACCAGTGTCTACACTACCACTGAGTTCTGTCGACATAACGTCGACAGAACTCAGCAGTTTTGTCGATGCTGGTATACCTCATTTTACGAGGCATAACACCTTCTGTCGACAGAACTCTGTCGACAGAACTCTGTCAACAGAAGGTGTTATTGCCTGTAACGTTGCGTCCAGACTACGGAGTTCTGTCGACAAAGCAGCTTGCTTTGTCGACAGAACTCAATGTGTCTGGACGCTCTTTGTCCACGGAAGTGTTGTCGACAGTATCTGTCGACAAAACTTCCGTCGACAAAACGCGGTAGTCTAGACGTACCCTAACATTTACCCCAGGTTGTCTTCCCAGTACCATCATACCCCACTTCCTCCCTCCCGCCTCCAATTTCTATTGTGTTGGTTTGGCGATGAAGTCACATACCCACCACAGCCAATCAGGTACCTAAGGAAAATAACACTGCCTGAGTGAAAACTGGATGGGATTCACAACAGATTCTAGACCACTAGGATTTCAGGATCCTCAGACAGGCAGAAATGGAGGCAGAAAACACCCAAGCAGATCACAGCGTCAAGTTTACAGTGGAGATGAGGCAGGGCCACCAGGTCCCCCCTCACTGCTCTGGGTGGAGAATGATGGCTAGAGAGAACTTCACGCCCCAGAGGAAGGCTGGGGATTAGTGGGGCCTTCCCCCCACTCACACACTCGTCCCTTCCCCATTGATACTGACTGACCCGCAAGTCCCCGTGGGACTGGGAAGCCCTGGGATACGCGCACACAAAGCGAACACCTCTCCCTGGCGGACACTGCGCGCTCTCTGCTAGCAAAGCAAAGCAAAGCAATCCGATCTCTCACGCTGGGGGAACGGGAGGGTCATGGTGATGGACCCTCCCATTTAGGGGGGGGGGGGACCACATCCCCCCCCTTACATGCCCTGAGGCTGGGGAGGAACCCATCTCCTCCTCGCCCTCAGTGGGGGGGGTGAACGCACCCCCACCCCACCCCTTTGCCCCGGGCGGGGGGAGAGGAGCGAACCCATCCCCCACCGCACGCCCCGAGGCGGGGCCTGCT